AAATATTTCACTGCAACGATTGGCAATGTTTTGTACATAATTAAACATATTAAATTTAATAATTTTTCAATTTTTTAAAGTAATATTTAGGTTATTGCGCGCTAATACAAAAAGCTTGCGCTCGATATCTTCGTTATCTATCACATTTACGAAAAATATACATTAGCAATTTTTTATGTACATTTTTTTTCTACGTTTATCTGAAACTTTTTTGAATTTACTGAAAAACGCAAAATTGGGGGTGCGTTTTCATTTTTTCCACCACCTCACTGTTATATCAATTTATTTGTGGAACATATATGTATATTATATCAAAAATGTACAACTTTCGGAGACTTGTCCTCGAAATGACAGATTTTACTGGACTAATACTATTCAACTGTACCATCATCACTGAGTCAGTACCTCTTGCTGGAACCTGTTGTGCACAACAGAACAGAGTTTAGAATCACTGTATGACGTCATAATTGTTGGTGCATTTGCGTAGTACATGGAATCCAACACGGTATTTATCGGCTCCTCAGATGAGCAGCAATTCATATCACGAGATTCGAATGGAAATCGCAACAGAAGCGCGTGCAGCAAATTATATCTAAAACCTTGTCTAATAGGAGTCCATACACACGAGCGTAGAATTCAATAACGTAAGGTTCGATACACACGGCGGAGGTGATTTAATCATATATTCGTTAACGCGCGTTTACACACAGATGCACTAACTTTCATCTGTAGTCGGTCGCGAGCTTTGCATAAATATGTTGACAAACGTAGATTTGAGATTAATGACAGTGGAGGGCACATATCTTATTATTACGCTCTTATATATATAACCCTATACACAAAAAGTAAACAACAACAGAACAAAATACAACAGCGTTAAAACCTCATGCAAAAAAAAAAATTGTCTCCAAACGTTGAGACTTGCTCGTGCGATCGTCAACGTACACCTATGATCGCTACATACCTTTCACCATACAAACAGCAACAACGTAACGTCTTTTATCATACACTAATATTTTTGAATGTGCATTATTGATGAATACATGGGCATATATACAACCATTGTGGGTCATATACGCCTGTTTATACTGGGTCTTACATACATACAGACGCATATGTTGTAATCAGCACTTTTCTCTGACCATACACTATGCCTCATCAGTACTCTGGAAAAAATAAGTTAAGGGAGAGAGTACATGAAAAAGAAACAGAATGAGGGTAATGACCTTATCGAAAACCCCAATTGCTGACGTGTATTCGCGTGATGTCGCCGAGTATTCTCATTGCACCGTCCATATGTGACTACCATCCATGTCCACATATTCTGCGTGCGAACACATTGTTTTTTATTTGATATTTTCACACTCAACTTATTTTTGTATTTCGTAATAATAGCAGTAACTTTGCCAATCGAATAGTAACTACGGAGTGCAGGATACTATTAATAATCGTCACACGTGCACTTGACTTGTTTGCGTATCAGCTGTTGCGAAGGTCAGGAGTAAGTATGGTTTCGTCACTTGACGCTTGCGATAACGAAGAGCGATAAGATAAGCGGCTACCAGAACGGCAACTGTTCTCAATCACGGCTCGTTACCTGAAAATTTCGGATGGTGACGCCATACTCATAGTTACCTGTCTGTAATATCCATGATCGTACCTATGAATGTAACATGCACGTCTTTATCTATGTCTATACTAAGGAAGTTATAAATTGATACTCAAAGTGAACACTGTTTTTTATTTCTCTCTGTGAATCAACAGGTGATGGGCCCATATCCTCGATATACCGGAAAGTTGTGATAGATAAAAAAAATATATTTGAGTAAAGAATGGCTAGAAGTAATTAAGTCCCTAGTGTTCTTATATAAATGTGCAAATTATGATTGGGCCTCCGAGGCGGACAATTTTCTTGTGACTTATAAGTATATTAACGGTGAGGAAACGGACGAAACGATAATTACCAAAGCGCGTGCAAAGTTGATTTTGATGACAGATCCTTTCATTATACGTGCATGTTAAAGACGAAATCAGAGAAAGATTTGCGGAAGAAATTAAAAAGCCTGCTTGATGGTTGTGTTTACTAAGAAGTTTTACTTCCATGCGTTTCGAAGATTGTGATTCAATTTCTTGTTATGTGATTCAGCTTGTCGAGATGACATAGAAACTAAAAAAAATAGACTTCAAAACTGATGACGAATGTGTAGGCTGTCTCCCTTCTGCAGGTCTACCAGAAAAATTTAGTTCGATGATAGTGACTATTCTGGACTTTTTATCACGACAGATGCCTTTAAGATCCAAGCTTTTGGACAGGGAAAGCGATATTGGTAAAACGGAAAATGCATTCGAAGAAGCCGAAAGTTGTCAATAATACAATAAGTAAATGTCAACAACTGCCAATAATATGTCAAATGTCAATACTAAACGAAAAATTCAGTAAATCAGTGTAAATATAAATATTCAAATTGTGATGAAAATAATGGAATACGAACTCGACCAGTACGGTCTAAACAGACTTGGGGGCCAGTACACATATTATTACAGTGTTGGAAGATATCACATCGAAAATAAAAAGAAAAGCAAACTTAAGGAAATTATTTTAGCTAACATTTCAATAAAATTTCAGTAAAATGTATTATCAAAGTAAAAGTATTTGACGGGCAATAACACAACATTGAAAATATATTGTGTATCAGCCTTTACAACTAATATCCCTTATCAATCAGTCAACTGATAAAAAAAATGGTAATATGTAGTTTTTACTGAGGATACTTATAAAACTTACAATGAGAACAACTTATTGGTATCTGACTTAATCGATAAGGTTTGTGAATTTAATCTAATCAAATCAAGTAAAACGGAAATGTATGTAACTTGAAAACATGCTAATACATGACACAGAAGACTAGGACAGAAATTTTACACATTTAAGGAAGATGAACACCGATGGATTGATATGCCAAAAAAAAAATAAACATCAAGCTCTTATCGTTTATTATGAAGACAAACGAAATAGACGAACATTTA